GGCGGGGGGGGGGGGAGCGGCCGGGAGCAGGTCCGGGGGCTGGCGGAGGGAGATGGCTGCGTCCCCAGGCGACGGCAGCCAGTTTTGAAACCCCCGCTCCGTAATTTGCTTCCGCGCTGCGTGGGGCACGGATGCGGAGCAGTCGCTAGCTGCTTGATTGGTAGGTGTAGTGAATGAATTGGCTGCCTCCAGGCCTTCAGTTCCTCCCCGAGCTGTATGGGAGGGAGTTTGGGGTCTGACCCCTTTAAATACCAGCCCCCCAGCTGGCCAGTCGCCAAGCTCTCTGGGGGGCTGAATTGGCTTGGTGTGCCGGGCCCAGGTACTAAAAGGCTGCGTTTGCCCCGTGGCGCGAGGATCAGGGTGTGGCCGGGGAAAGCCAGCCAGCACCGTAACCGCCTCTTTCTGCCTCAGAGACCGGCGAGTTCTTGAACTGCGAGGGCTCCGGCCTCTACGTGCTCCAGAGCTGCTGTAAGTAACACGCTGGTGCCAACTGGCCTGCCCGGCCCCTCCCCCTTTGGCGCCACTTCGAGCGGCTTTCCAGAGACGCGGCCTGCTCGGGTGGGCCAGCCTGGGCTGTCTGCTCGCCTCCTGCTCATTGGCGGGATGCCTCTCCAACGCTAACAGGCCAGACGTGAAAATAAACGCCAGCAGCTCCGCCCACACGAGCGACCCTACAATAACAAACCCGGCTCTGCAGCCTAGCGCCAAGGGAACCTCCGCATTTCTCCAGAGTGCCGGGGCACAGGGCACGTGACAGACACATACCGCGTGACTCAGGCCCCAGAGAGCTCTCTGCACCCAGGGGGGTGGCAGTGCTTTGGGGAGGTGTCCGGGCTTAGCTGCCTCCTGTTGTTAAAGGAGCGGCAGTCAAGGCCTGCGTTATGAACGAGAAGAGAGCGAGCGTAGAGTGAGCGCCGCCGGGCGTCGCTCAGCCAGGGTCTTGGCAGTTTCCTTCCAGGGATGAGGGGTTTGAACTAAGCCTTTGGCTCATCCTCCAGGCGAGGCTGCCGGGGGCTGCGTGGGGAGCCGGAGCTGCTGCCCATGCTGGGCTTGCTGTCTCTGGCGCCACCCTGGCTGCGTGTGTCACCGCGGCTCCCTGTCAGCGGAGCGCGTGGGCGGCCACCCTGCAGGTATTCCAGTGCTGATTAGCACAGCGCCCACAGCCGGCAGCGTGTGTTTCTACTGGTGGTGCACACGCCGTGGTGCACAGAACAACATTTATTCTGCTCATGAAAACAATTAGGGGGTACGTTGTGTGTCATTTACCGGCTCGGGTGCCTGTCTCTTCCCTGCTGCAGGTAACCACAGCTGCATCCCCAACGCCGAGACGTCCTTCCCGGATAACAACTTCCTCCTCCACCTCACCGCCCTGGAGGAGATCAGGCCGGGAGAGGTGAGCCGGCAGGGAAGGGAATGGCTTCTTTGTCAGGGGAGGGACAAAGCCTGTAGCCCCACTCACAGCCCAGACTCCTCCCAAAGGCGTGGCTGTCCAGTCTGAATAGCCCCCGCCCACTACCATCATATCCGAGCACTTCCTAGTAGGTAACATCCCTTTTGTACATATGGGGAAACTGAGGCACGGAGAGATGAGGTGACTGGCCCAAGGCCAGGCAGGGAGGCTGTAGCAGAGCTGAGGCTTGAGCCCCGGTTCAGAGTCTTCGCTAAAAGGTCATTAACCCTCCGTGGCCCTTGGGTGAAGAAGGGACAAAGGTCATTCAGAGCTGTTCGGGACCCTGGTTATCTTGCCAGCCATGGGGGTGCCGCAGGCGATCTCCGCCGTGCGGATGAGAGACGGGGCTGTGCTCCACGCCCCTGGCCGTCCGGGTAGTTCAGATCTGACCCCCCTCCGCCCCCAGGCTCGTGTGAGGGCAGGAAGGCGCGGGGCTGGGCTGAGGACGAGACGGGAACTGACTCTCAGCCAGGCCTGCGTGACTCTTGCCTCACCAGGAAATCTGCATTAGCTACTTAGACTGCTGCCAGCGGGAGCGGAGTAGACACAGCCGCCACAAGATCCTCAGGTAGGGCTGGCCCCCGGCACCGAGCCGTGGGCCCTGGGGGCAGGGCGGGGGGGGGGCTCCCAAGGCAGGGCCGGCAGCACCAAGCGGCTCCGCAGAATGTCATCCTTGGCTTACCAGGGGACGCCTGGCCCCCCCCCCCCGGGTTACTCAGTCCTTGGCCGTAGTGGCTTGGTCCGGCCTCCGTCTGCTGCCTCTCGCCCAGGGGGTTGCAAGCGAGGGGGCATGCCCCAGCTGGGGGGGATGCCGGGCGCTGGGGCGTGTGGTCGCCCTTGACGTGGCTCGCGCTCGCTCGCTCCCCTGCGCCCCATAGGGAACACTACCTGTTCACCTGCTCCTGCCCCAAGTGCCTGGCTCAAGCCGACGATCCCAGCCTGACTTCGGAGGAGGAGGAGGAGGAGGGTGACGGCGAGACGGACGACGCGGAGCTGGAGGATGAGATGACGGACGTTTGATCCCGGGGGCGGGGGGGCCTCCGAGCTGGGGCGGCTTTGTGCCGCAGAGGGACTGTGCGGGGGGGCTGGCGCTGCGGCAGGGACAGAGCGGTAAGCGTTGGGGGTGGAAGGGCTGCCGAGCTTCCCTTCGCCTGACCGTCCTAGGGGAGCGTCTGTGATCTGTGGTCCCCCTCTCTAGGTAGCATCTCCGCTTGTCCCGACCGCTCCTCCACGGCTGACAGGGCAGCGTCAGCCCTCGGGGGCGTCACCGTGGCCTCCGTGTGTGTCGGCTCCTGCGCAGAGCCGAGCACTGTGGGCGGGGGGAGAGGCAGAGACAGGCGCAGGCAGGGAAGAGCCTCCGCTATTCTGAGCACAGACACGCCCCCTAACCCCCCTTCTTCCTGCCGCTGGGCGAACCCCCGGCCGCCCCAGGGCTCCCGCCGGTGCCGCTGCCTAGGCGACGGGAGAGCTGGGGGGTTTGGGCGCGTGGCCCGCTCGGGGCGGCGGCGGGGAGAAGGGGACTGGTGGCTTTGTAGACAGGGGGTGCTGTGGGCCCACAAGACGGCGCCAGGACTTGTGGGTTCAACTCCCTGTTCGGGAGGGGGGAGTCAGTCGCTTCCTCTCGCGGTGTCCAACGCGGGGGCTGGTCAGACTTGCCTAGCTGGGGGGAGGGGCCGAGTGCTTGGAGTCCGAGATGGGGACGCTCTCAGCACCAGCAGGCGGAGGGTTAAGTAGCTGGGGGGTGATGCAGTCAGCTGAGGGCGCCTCCCACTCCTTACCCTTGCCTCTTGCTCCCGCTCGGGGTTGGCACTGCCGTTTTGGGGGGGTGGTTTCACTCCAGGGGGGTGTCTGCCCTCCTGGGACAGCCGGCTCGGCGGTACCGCCCTGGGACCGGCTCCTGACCTGACACCAAAGGGAAACCCTATCCAGGCTGCCGCAAGGGGTTAGGCACCCGGGCTCAGACGTAGGCATTGCTGTGCTCAGCACTGCAGCGCCTCAGGCTCGTGGTCCAAAGGGAGTTTGTCAATGGGAGCCCAGCTCCCTAGCACCTATGTGATTTTGGCTCACAAGTGCCTAAATCCCTTTAACCTGGAGGCATAGGCTCCTGAATCAGTTAGGCATTGGAACAGCAGAGCGCAGCAAGGCCCAGATCTCTCTCAATCCAAAGGAACCGGATTGGAGGGGGTGTCTGGCCCCAAACCCCACCCCAGAGCGCAAAGGGAGAAGCAGCTGATTCTGGCTGTTGTGTTGCGGGGTGGTTGGAGGGATCCATGCTCTGCCTCCCTGGTGTGGATTATACCTGTGACCTGCCAGGGTGGGGCAAAAGCAGGAGCCCTGGGGCGGTACCACCGAGCCGGGTGTCCTTCAGCCAGGCTCGAGGTTGAGTCAGCAAGGAGAGGGTGGCTCCTTCTAGACCCACTAGTGTCGGCTCCCCAGGGGCTGGTGGCCTGTTCTGAGCAGTGCCCAGCCCCCGCTGAAGGCAGTGGGACTGGTGGGGGCTCGGCCCCTCGGATTAGCTGTCAGAGCCGCGAGATGCTGGTGGAGCTGGCACCTGGGCACAGGGAAGCCGGGGGGGAAAGCCTGGGGGTGTTGTAGCCTCCCTCGCGCCCCTACTTTCCACACCTCTGCCCCTCCCACACCCCCATCGAGGGACCACAGTGGGAGGACACAGCTGGTCACATCTGATCTTCTCCCCAGGCACAGTGAGGCTGGAGTGGGAGGGAGTTCCCCCCCCCCCCCCCAAGCTGGCACCTGGGCACAGGGAAGCCGGGGGGGAAAGCCTGGGGGTGTTGTAGCCTCCCTCGCGCCCCTACTTTCCACACCTCTGCCCCTCCCACACCCCCATCGAGGGACCACAGTGGGAGGACACAGCTGGTCACATCTGATCTTCTCCCCAGGCACAGTGAGGCTGGAGTGGGAGGGAGTTCCCCCCCCCCCCCCCACACGCTACGTATCCTGATCTCCCATGAGTGGGACCAGAGGTTGGGGGGCAGTTCCGTTCCAGGACAGTCTTTCCCCTTTCCAGAAGTGGCCTTGTGGTTCCCCCACCCCCGCCTTCCTCCCAGGCCTGCTGCTGCGGGTGAGGCTGAGCCGGCCTGATTCCAAGGAAGCAGGGCAGGCCGGGAACAGTTCTCTCTTCAGTCCGCCTCACCCGTTAGAGCATCCAAGAGATGCAGCCTCTTCCCTCGCAGCCGAGGCAGGAGTGGGGAGGCTCTGGGGCGTTGCCTGGCCCTGGGGGCTGCTGTATTGTCCCTCTGTGGAGACTGTTCGGCACTTTCCTTAGGACTCCTCTTGGAGGGAATGGGGGCCTGGGAAGCAGGAGAGCACCACGCTCCTGAAGCCGGGCTGTCTTAGGGCCCTCTTGACCTAAGCCCAAGTCTTCCCATTTTGATTCCCTGGGCTCATTAACCTTTGAGATCCCAGGGCTGGATACATCGTAGCCTTGTGCCGGCCAAGGAATCCAAGTTGTATTTTACATGCTGCCTGCCCAGAGCTGGGAGACTGACCCAGCAACCCGGTGCTGGCCGATCGCAGGCCAAATCCAGCTCTGGTGTAAATCTGGAACCGCATCACTGACTTCCTCTGAGTTACTCCACGCTCGCACTGGTGCCCCAGCGACCCGAGTTTGTGCTCACCACCTCGAGCCAACGCGATGTGCTTTCACGTGTGCTCTGGCTTGCCACGCTGCAGCCATACGTGTGTGTGAACTGGTGCTAATTCCCGCACGAAGAGACTTGCAGTGAACGAAGGGCCCGGAGACGACGGACTGTTAAACCCTGGCTCCAGAACATTGCCTGAGCAAAGCGGTCTTCCTGAAACCCCACGGAGGCCAGGATCTAGAACAAGGTCCCGTCCCTGGCTATCTGCACACCAAAAGTATCCCATTGGAGAGCAAAGGAGCAGGATAGAGCAAGGAACTGAGGGGCTAGATGTGAGGGCAACAGGCAACCGCATCAGGCTGAAATTGACGTGGCAGAAATGCCCCGTCTGTGATGACTGGGGTGTTTAAAAAAAACAACAACACCCAAAAGCCTTTTCTCCACTGATGCTGCTTCCTTTTGGCAGGCCAGCCTGAGCAGTGAAATTTACATCGGTCAGTTTCACTTCTTGGTTCTCATGCCCTAGCTTGATGCCCTGGTGTGCGGGTTTCCTGTGTGTTTCCTTAGCTGTAACTAATCCCTGCTCTTCAAAATGAAGGCTCCCTGCCTGCCTACAGAGCCAAACCACTTGGCGTGAGTTTACAGACCAGGGTCCTGAGGAGCCAGCGCGCTGCTGCCAAGCCTGCTCTGCACAGTTCCTTGGCCAACCTTGAATTTCAGAGTTGCCAACCCCCTCCTTCCACTGAGAGTTTCCCTCCTGATGCTGTGAGCTGATGCTTTTCAGAGAGAGAGAGAGAGTTGGGAAGCAGGCCCATCTCTCTTGACTGGGGTGCTTGTAATCAACAGCCCACGGCTGCTTTCGGGACGGCGGGGAGAGGAGATCGTGCTGTAGAAGGGGTAGGCAAAGCCCTTTGAGCTGTACCTTCACCCCTAAGCCGGGATGGGGGTGTGCTATACACTTGGGATCCTGATTGCCGATCCCGGGCTTTGGTTTGGCCCATTTACATCACTTCCAGCTGGAGTCGGGGCAGGTTTGGTGCCTCGCTCTGAGCCCCAGCGAACCGCCCTCCCGTGGGGTGCACAGGGGTTAGTGGCAGGCAGTTTCCATCAAAAGGGGACTGCTGTTAAACAGTGCCACTAACGGGGGGGGCTGCCTCGCCGGGCCCATCTCCACAGCTCTGCCACGTGGCTTTGAGTTGGTGGCAAAGCAGAGTTTGAGCGCCATTCTGTTCTCCCCGTCCGCGCCCGGCGCAGCTTCCCCGCTGCCACAAACACCTCATCCACCCCCCTCCTCCCAGATTCCTGGCTCCGGGCTTGGAACGTCCGCCCCTGGGTCATGTATCCAGACGTATCCCCCTGGAGAGGGGCCCCTGCCCCTCCCTCGCCCCTTCTGTAATCAACGTGTTCACACTGCTGCAAGTGTCCTGAGACTGGAGGCAGTCGTTTTTCAGTCAGTCTACCGAATGCATGAGCCGAGACCTGCTGTGCACCTCGGTGAAAACAACTCGACCCGGTCTGACCGCAGTCGGTTGGCTTGTGCAAACTTCCCTGAGTTTTGTGGAACTGTTGTTTCGGTCTCGGTCTGTCCTGTTGAGGGGAACGTGCAACGCGGAGATGGGGACATCCTCCCTCTCCAACCATATCAGCCAAGGAAGTGCTGCACCGCGTCCGGGTCACTCCTCCCTCAGCCGCCCCTGCGGCCTCGTGTCAATAAAGTCAGATTGACAGGCACTGGGCCTGGGTCTGTTTCTGTGTTTAACTTGATCACGGGTTGTGATCGTTTGTTTTCCCTGTGTGGTTATGGGTTGGGCCCTGCCAAATTCACGGGCCGTTTTGTTACATTTCACAGTCATGGGGGTTTTAACAGTCCTCCGTTTCATGACTTTGGATATTTAAATCTGAAATGTCCGTGTGATAACCACGGAGGTCCTGATCCAAAAGGGAGCGGGGCAAGGCTATTGTAGGGGAGCTGCAGGCTACATCTACACTGCAGGCTTCTTGCGCAAGAGTTCTTGTGCAAAAGGTCTTCCACAAGAGCGTGTCCACACTGCCATGTGCTTTCGCACAAGAGTGTCCATGGCAGTTTGGACGCTCTCTTGCACAAGAAAGCTCTGATGGCCACTCTAGCCATAGGGCTTTCTTGTGCAAGATATTCATGTTGCCTGTCTACACTGCATTCTTGTGGAAGAGCTCTGGTGCAAGAGGGCTTATTCCTCGTGGGGAGAGGAATAACCCTTCCGGAAGAAGCCCTGTTTCCCGACGCTGTCCTGTAAATTTACTTGCGCAAGAACGTGCGTGCAGTGTAGGTGCTCTGCAAGTTTTTGCGCAAGAACAATCGTTCTTGCACAAGAAGCCTGCAGTGGAGACGTATCCCTGGTGTTTCTCTCCTTAGCGTTTCGCTGCCTTTAGAGCGGGGTGCTGTAGTAAGAAGAGGGCCTGAAATATAAGCCCACATATCGCAGGCCGCTCTGAGGCCTGGCCAGGAGTGGCCAAGACTTTGCTAATATAAAGCAAAGCTGTGAGCAAGAGGCAGGCCCCTGCTCACAGAACTTTGCACAAACAGGGCTGAGAGTGCAAAACACTAGAATAGTAAATGGTACTAAGTACCGGCTGTAGAACAGCCATTGGTACCAGGCACAGGTTACAACCGCATTCCTGAGAGATGGTGACACCACCCCATTAAAAAGGACCGTGGTACCTACGCTTCCCTCAGATGACAGGGAGGTTCAGGGAAGGGTCTACAATGACAGCATGATGGACAGAGATATTCTATCGAACCACCACGTGCAAGGTGGATGGGTGGTTTGAGGTAACATCAGAGAGTGGCAACCAGATATGTCAGGAGTGATGTGTCCCTTGTTTGTACTGTATATAAAGTGGTGTCTTTGTCCGGTGGTGGGGCCATGGGACCACCGACTGACTGCAGGGGTACATAATGCGGAGCGGTTCGGCAGAGTCTACTGGCAACTCTTACTGGACTTCACTTGACAATAAACCTGGCTGGGCGCCTTCGATCCTTATCTGATTTTATGGTCTTTGGGGGATCTCTTGGCATCTGTTGTGTTGATTTCTTGCACAAAGTCAACACATCGCACAAGAGGAGCACACACGCACACAGCTGAATGGGTATCAGCACGGACGGAGCAGGAGACCTGTCAGGACACCACAGCGGTGACTTCTGACGACTGCAGATGCCCGGCCAGCTGCTGCCTGGCTCTGAAGGCAGTGCGGAAGTACGGGTGGCATGAAACTGAAAATTCAGAGCTGATAACAGGTACAAGGTATTTATTTTCTTATAGCTTAGCCAACTAACAGCTTTTTGCCTGCAGAAGTCAGATATGTGAAGCGACACAGGGGAAGTTTAGGAAAGAACAAGTGAGACAAACACCTGTTGGCTTTGGTCTAGGTGCACTTGGTCTTGCCTCAGTAGAGGGGGCTGGGATGACAATTCACGGGAAAAGTGTTGATGGGCAGGGGGTTCAGGAAGCACGTCCCAGAGCTGGTTGGGGCAGGCGTTGAAGGATGTAATGGAATCTGGGTCAGACACCAGCCTGCGCACGCTCTCGAGGAGTAGAGGTTAGTTTCCTCAAGGATGGAAAAGCAGGCGGAGCCGGGAGACCTGCGCCGCTCAGCTCTGCAAGCGGGGGTGCTGTTTTATTGCACCTAATGGCGTGGGGAAGCCCGCCTGGGATGGAGAACGGGCTAGAGTCGGCGCCTGCCTTTGGTGCTCTGAGAGCACAACTGAACCTGGGCTCTGCCGGGGCTGGTTTAAACCAAGTGCGGGCGAGTAGTGACGGAACGTTGCCATCAGCTGGCCGGTGAGCTGTCGGGAAGCAGTGAGTTTCCGCCTCGCGGTGCCCGGCTGACCCCATTGCGGTTCCGATCTGCCGGACGTGGCCTCTCCTGAGCCCAGAGCAGGCCCCTACAGGTGAGGGGCAGGGCTGAGGGCTGGGCGAAGGACGCGTCCGGCCGCTGGGACCCCGTCCAGCCCTGCCGACTCCCTGCTCTCAGGGAAAGCAAATCAGCCTCTTCACAGCGAAGACACTCAACATGGCCCTGCCTGGGGCTCCAGCAGCTTCTTAGCAGGCACCTAATGCCCACACGCCTGCAAGGCAGGCGACCTCACTGGCTCCCAGCCTCCAATTCCAATTCCACAGCACTTGGCCAGCCCAGCTCTTACCCTTCAGGGCCTAGCATATGACTCCTCTATGTGCTGCGGGGCAGGGAGGCCGGGGTCCCATCTGCAGGGGGGCAGAAGGGCCAGGGCTGGAGGGTCAGGGTCCCATCAGTACTGGGTGCAGGCTGCCAGGGCAGGAGGGCTGGGGTCCCATCTGCAGGCGGGAGGGTGGGAGTCCCATCTGCAGGGGGCAGGCTACTGTGCGCAGAACAGGGGCCGTGGCCCGCCCAGTGAGCAGGCTAGATTCTGCTTCCCCCAGATTTCTTGGCTTAGGGAAACAAAGTCCACGTCCGCCCACGCCAGGCCAAGTGGGGCAGGGTCACAGCTCCCCCACCTGAGCCTGTGATCCTCTGGGCTCGCCCCGGAACAGGCCTGGAGCCTACACGTGCTGACATCCAGGTGCACGCAGAACTCCAGTGTTAACTGCATCCGAGCCGCGGCTGCTCCTTCTCCTGGCCTGGCCAGCAAATCTGGAACAACCTTGGACCCTCAGCGCTCCGAGCCAACGTGCCTCAGCTGCTGTTGTGTTGCCCAGGAATAAACTCTGCACAGCCCCAAGGGGAGGCCAAGAAACCAGACAGCCGAGCGCGTGGGGCTTGGTTAGATTAACGAACCAGTGTTAACTGCATCCGAGCCGCGGCTGCTCCTTCTCCTGGCCTGGCCAGCAAATCTGGAACAACCTTGGACCCTCAGCGCTCCGAGCCAACGTGCCTCAGCTGCTGTTGTGTTGCCCAGGAATAAACTCTGCACAGCCCCAAGGGGAGGCCAAGAAACCAGACAGCCGAGCGCGTGGGGCTTGGTTAGATTAACGAAGAGGTTCGTGTGGCCAGTGAATAGACACCATTAGCCTGCAACCACAGCGCCGGCAGAGTGAAGGCAAATGCCAGCCGGCACCTTGTGCCCCTTTCGTCCTGGCAGGGGGATTCCTGCCCAGCCAGCCCCCCATTCGAGGGGCACATGGCTGTTGGGGAGATCACCCCCACTGCGGGGACCAGCCAGACCCTCGAAGCGGGACGGGGCAGGGCCCCCCCG